GGGGGGGGCGACACGAGACCATATATGGGTATTTATATGTATGCATATTATATAAGTAGATAGTTACACAAAGATGAGAAGCACCAAGTATAACATACATGATGTACAGTATATGCTGTATCACAAATGTAACATACAACCACAAAGTAGAATCAGATAGAATAGGCAACATAAGTTCGGCATAATATAGCGATATGTGATGACAATGAAATGTAATCTGCAGTATACTGGTTCCGTGCTGTATTGCATTGTACTGTATGACAATATGTTGCGTCGTATTGTATTTTGGTTTGTTATATGTAAATGTGTTCTGTGTTAATTCATGTTGTGGTCCTATCGTTTTATGTCGCAGTATAGCATAATATATGTTAATATGACCTGATGTAGTATGAGTTGACATCGCAATAGAGTATAAGACAAGGTATAGTACAGTATAGCACAGTAGAGTGCGTCAGAATATAACATAAGACAACACAAGATGATAATAATAATAGTACAGTTTGTGTATGTATGTGTGTATGTATATATTTATTCATTCATTTTGTATTCGCTCTTGTTATGTTATGTCATGTTATGTTATGTTATGCTACATCATGCTTTTATAGAATATTATGCTAGCTTATAGTATGTTCTCGTATGTCATGCCGTGATTTGTAATCATAGTCTGTTGTTAATGTTATTCGTATCGTAAAGTATAGGATGGAAAAGTGTAGCAAATAAAATTCAACAGGTCGTGGTATTCGGGACATAGCCGCACTGCTGTATGCTGTTTTTGTTTTGGTAAGATATGCTAAAGCATGCTTTGATATGACATAGCCGGATACAGTAGAACATACTACAAAACACAGAACATATTGCAAAACATCTTGCGCAATCTGATGCACAAGGTATCGCAGCGTCTAGTACGAACTCTTCCTCTCCTTTCGTCTCCTCTGCTAGAATTGCTTTGGTACCCAGGACATGGGGAGCATTTGCAGCCTTGGCTGCAAACCGCGCTTTCGTTCGAAGTGCAGGGCGGTGCCTGCTCGTGGACTGCTGCAAGCAGGATAGTTATAAGTGAAGTTTAGTGTGGAAATTGATGGAGTGTAGTGCCTCAGGGTTATGTCTCTCTCTCTCTCTCCCCCTCTCTCTCCTCCCCTTCCCCTCCCCCTCTCCTCCCCCCCTCCTCCCTATGGGCGGGTCGGGGAAAGGGGGGGGGAGGGGGGGAGGGAAGGGAGGAAGGAGGGAGCCTCCCACTCCCTCCCCTTTTGAAATTTGTCGAAGTACGAAACACCCAGCTACTATTGTGAACCCATCATCGTGGTGCCGGAAAAGGTGTGCTGGAATCATGCTGCTGAGGTTCTGGCTGTGGCTTGCGTGGAGCAGCTATATCGTTGTCCGCCTTCGACAACGTTGTTGCAGCCAGCGCCATGGGCAGCGCATTTACGCTGCACAGAGCGGAAGCACTGATGTCAGTGAGGCCTGACTAGTAGGTTCCATGCAGCCCATGCAAAATTTGCAAAATAACGCCGCAGGGAACTGGCGACTTGGATAGCGGCCTTCCCACTTGCCGCATTTGTTTTGGTGGAACCGAGAATGGAAGCAGCTGGTCTTGATTCCGTTTTTCGGCATGTTCGCATGGCTGAAAACTCACTATACTTTCCTCTCCGTGTCTTATGTGTCCTGCATGCTGGTCTTGGGCGACATCCACCCAGCTGAAATTTGAGGATTCTTTACATGCTTCGTTGCACTGTTGAAGACTCTTTCGTGTGGAATGAGGACTCATCTCGCCATGTCTGTGCTCTTTGGACGAAGTGGTGTGCTGTGCTTCACAGAGCGTCATGGCAGTGCTTACCGCAGCTCTGCGAAATATTGCCAGGCTCAGGCACAATGAGATATGTGCACCTCGAGTGCTTGAACATGTGGAGAGCATCAAGTGCAAATCCTCAGTCGGCGCTCTTTGCCTGTATATCAACAATCGCGTCGTAGGGGGCATGTGTGGACGAATCTCTGCATTTGCTGCCACGACGGAGGTACAAGTGCGACCAGTGCAATTTTCAATACTCTTTTCAGCGTGCATTGCTGCACAGCTGCACATCATCTGAAACGGCAGCAAGCATGTAGGCGTTGTTGTTGTTGTTGCTGCTGCTCGCTACAGGTATGCAAGTATCCTTAGATCGGCGCTCGTCCTGCACAGCATAACACTGTTGCTATTCGCTGGTTGCGAGCTCAGCCGTCAGCTTCCTGTCACACGTAGCCGCTCCTGCAAGAAACCTGCAGGCACTGTTTTGCTCTGTGGCTATGTGTGTTATTATGTAGACTGGTGGCTGGGTTGCATGTTGAGAATTAAACGAATCGTGGTTTGAAGAGCTGCTCCGATTGGTGGCCTGAACCTGCCTCTACGAGGTTGCAGAATGGTGACGGCACCACCGAGGCTTGTATTGTTCATGTTGCCATCCAAAATGTGCAGAGCAACTCAGGGCAGAATGCAAGCGTCCAGCCGAATCTTCGTTTGAGAGGTTCTTTCTCAAGATCTGGTCGACCACTTTGTTAATGTCAGCGGTCTGGATGACATTGACAAGGAGGTTTCGAGCAAGCATGCTGTGCACAGTGAATCTGCCACACTGACAAAAAAGCCCGTTGGAGTTTGTTGCATCGATTGTTGGGATATCGGCTGATGTTGTTGGACCAGAGGAAAGTTGACCTCATCTGGCACCAGTCACCCCCTGCAATTCTGATGGGCTGGGAAGTGAGAACAACGAAAGACCAAGCCAACACTCGCGAGCTGCGATCTCTGACGCGGGTCTTTGTAAAAGCCAGGGTGGTCCTGATCCTTATTCCTCGGTCGGTCTCGTCACTGCATAGCTACATCGTGATGACCCCGACTCAGGGCATCCTTCATGGATGTTTCGCTTCTCCGGATCAGGAGTTCCGAAGATTGGCAGACGGACTGAATTCCTTCACCTTCGGTGGCATCAGCCTAGCGATTCAGCTGGCATTGCGGAGCAGTCGACAGTGGAACCATGCAACATGTACAATGTAGAACTTGCAGCCATCCGGTGTTGCGCAACAAGTCTTGGGTTCCCAGGCGCACATACTGAACGGCATCATGATGGTGGGTCTCAGTGGATGTGTCTCCAGTAGCATCTTTTTCTTTGGGAGCCTCGGCCTGCAATTTGACAAACATGAGCGCATGTGAAGGCAGACCTTGTTCATGACTTGGGAACTTCATTCGCAGAGTCTTGGGGCTCAAATGGTCCATTTGGCTTCTTGCCCGAGAAAGACTTGATGCTTGGACGCATTCATTTCAGCGACCATCAGAATGCAGCGGCAGAGAGAGGGAGACAGCGAGAGAGTAGCCATACTGATATCATTGTTGTTCTATTATTCTTGCTGTTTTCCACGGGGAGTTTCCATTGTCGATCGATGTGTTGGCATATTTGCTTGGCGAATCTGCCATAGATGCCTTTGAGAGACACGTCCCCATAATATATGGTGGTGCCTGGCGCACGGGGAGGTGGGTCGCTCCTCCCTCTTTGGCTCAAGCCGCGAGCGGTTCAACGAAGGGCGCGCCCTGTCTCAACCCGGGGGCTTGACCCGTCCGGCTCTAACTCGCGAAGGCCCCCAAATGAAAAATGGGCGGGGGGCCCACGAACTGGTGAAGGGTTGGGGCTCCAACCCTTGTCAAGAGGGCAGGCTGCTTCAACTCGTGAAGGGACCCTTGTCAAGAACTCGAGAAGGGTTGGGGGGTCCAACCCTTGTCCAGGAGGGGGCCGGCTCCGACTCGTGAAGGTTGGGGGGTCAAACCCTTGTCAAAAGGAAGTGCTAGACAAAACACTCGGGTTTAGGGTCTCTCGTTTTTACCACTCTGTGGGAGGTTGCCCGAGAGGCCTAGGCCCGGGCTCCGCGTGCGCGTTTTCTGCCGCTCGCGAAGCTCGGGCCGCTTCGGGCTCCGAGGTGGCGGTTGTCGAGCCCCCAGCGAAGACTTTAGGGTTAGCGTTTTAGGGTGTAAGTTTGGATCAGGGCTTCAGGGTTTGCTGTTTTAGCAACATGAGCACCACAACACGGAAAGAACAGAAGACCCAGTCTTTGTGAACATACTTCTTGATCATAGCCACAGCATTCAAGCGGTGTGCTTCGGATGAGTTCTGGTTGAGGGGTGAAGGACCGGTGGAGAGCACAGAATGGCCGGACCCGAAACGCACGCGGGCGTGTCCGAAACTTCCCTTGAAGAGGCTGAAAGGCATCCATGCGGGTCCGAACTGACATGTAAGCTTGAAAAATAATGATGGCAACGGCCGTGTTGAAATTGTTTCTCTGTGTGTGTTTGTGTGTGTGAGATTTTTCTCAGAAAGGGTCTGGAACCCTGGATGCCGGCTTCCACCTATGTTTTCTGCCCGTCCAGCAAGCTGTCGAGGTTGTCATGGCGGCAGTCAGCGAGAAGGTCGCTGGCTTGAAAAAGGCCAACTTGAGCGTTCCAGCGAACCTCTCGCAGCTCCCCAAGTCACAGGAGACATGTCCCTCGCGGAGAGGCTCTGCATGAATGGATTTGCTGGGTTTGTTCTGCTTGACGCCAGGACCCACTGTCGCCTAGGGGAGTGCCAGAGGAGAGGAAAATCTCCCGCATAGCAGATTTCGCCACTTGCTGGCACCGAGCTGTGCGCAGTGTTTTTTTTTTCAGAGATGCCACTTATGAGGTGATGCCCAGGGTCCCGGTCGAAGACAAGATTTCCGGACCGCAGGCCGCATGCGTGCAGCTGTACTAAGTGCTGCACATAACAGAAATGTCATGCGGATTGATTCCGAAGAGGTCTCTGCGGAAACGTGCACATTCCAATGTGTGCAGCAACTTGCTGGAAATTGATAAGTTGGTGCATTGCATGTCTTGCATGTTCGTTGTTCCTCACGCGATTGCTTTGGGGGACTTTGGCTCGTCCTCTTTCCGCCGGCCAACGTGGCCGGCATGGTGATTCGTGCACTTCGTGCCATCCTTCGTAGCCATGGCTTGTCAGCCGTGATTGTAATCTCCAAGAGAGGGGTTGAGAGCCATCGTCGTTTGCGTAAGTCTTCCTTGTCTCTGCTCCTCCGGGGGGAGGATCCTCCGTTTCGACGTAGAGGCGACTGTTCGAGTCCTGGTTTACTCAGGGATTGCGGCATTCCCCAGATTGGCCCCCGCTTCTTGCGGGGGAGCTTTGTTGCAAACTCCTGCCGACACTCCTAGGCCCTCTTGTAGGTAATGAGGCATTTTGTGCTTGTTCTGTTGTTGCAGTGCTCGGTCCAAGGCAGAGCGTGGTGGCACGAGTCCCCGTGCTCGGATGGTTGCCTCACTATGACTTTCGGCGAGACCCTTGTTCGCAACGGTCCTCGCTGGCTTGCGATAGCAAGCACCCACCAGATGTTACCTGCATGTCAACTCACATTCCATCCCAGGACTTCTTCTATGACTTTATCGGAGGCGCCACCATCGCCTTAATTTGCCTAGCTGGATCCTCAAACTAACAGCGACTCGTAGCTGGCCAGTTCATTTGCCAACGAAAACCAAGGTGCAGACGCTGGCCCATGCTGCCATTGCAACTACCAAAGTAATTCAAGGAGAGCTCACATTGATGTCCCATTCGTGGGTGTTGCTGTAAAAGCGAGGCCAAGCATTCCGCTGGAAAGGTCTAGGGCTGGAGTCCGAGGCGAAACGCCCTCAGAATCCTGCCAGTTTTCCATTGCCACGGCTGTTCTGCCTTGATAAAGTTATTGGACATCATGCCAACTTCACCTGTCCAGTACGATCAGCGTTAGGTGAGTAGAAAGGCATTCCCGGGCCTCGCTGTGCATGAAGTGGGCTTGGCAGCTAGATTCGCCCGGTGATCCGGAAATCTACAGCTGGAGGACCTTATTGTGCCTTCGTGCCTCCGTTTGTCTACGCGATGCTCGGGACATCACCCCATGCCTCGATTTCATCCGGTGCGCCCAGGGAGTCGAGGGAACAAGGACAGTCGCACAAGATTCGCAAGATGCTGCAGCAGATGTTTGGGCTATCTGCACTTCTGCTACAGAACAGGCCGAGGAACCAAGTGAAAGGCTTCATGACTCATGGCTTTGACGGCTTCCCAGAAAACACACACAATCAGATCACACTGTGTCAGGCTGTGACTGAACTTTTGTGAGGCTGCCGTAAAGTCGTTTGATTCTATCAAAAACACAAACTGTGCTGAATTGCAGCATAAGGAGCTATACCGTGCCAGACGATACCAAGGATCATCTCCAGCATATTGGTTGACAGTTTACACTGCTCCACATGCTTGCCTCTTTTCCATTTTGCGCATTGACCCGCCCAGAGACCCATAAGCGGACATCGCGAGCCACTCTGCGAGGCACCTCGAAGATGCCACTGCTGCTTACTTGTGCTGGCCGGCTCACCCGCCAGTAACAAAAATGCACGTTGATCAAAAAGATGAAACCGCAAGCAGTAGAACTACTGGAGGCGTGATGGTGCTCAGATGCACCGCCCTCTCAGCCCCCGCTCTGCCGTTATGTTCTATAGGGATTCTGGACTTTGCGGGTCCTGTCCCCGCATTGCCCATTGATTTCCATGAATGACCAACGATGTAGAGTCAGATTAACTGAGTGTTGCAAAAGGCAAATTGACGATACGTTGATAAGACTCACTCACACGAGCTATCAGCACACAAGGTTTCAGCCGCTCCACCCATGCTGTCCAAATGCATGCGTATAGCAGGTGCCATTGCGGCCATCCTTTTGGCTGAGACCTGACAGCACAGCTGACAACAGCACGGGGTCCACATTAGCTGGTGGCGGTTGCAGAATCCTTGGGCCAAGGACCAGCTGCAGTATTGGCACGATGAAGATGAGCGGACCGAGCTGGCCTCCCTGCTGGCCTTGATCAGTGGAGGCTGGATAGGATTAATTACCAAGGGGAATTGCAGCTGAGTTTTTTGAAGCCGTCAGGCTGGCTGGTCGCAATGGGTCTTTGCCAAGCGGCATATGCTGTTCGCTTCCTGTCCCAGTCGCTGATTAGCGGATTTGTCACTGGCGGCTCCGTCTTGTGCTTACACCCGTACTGTCATGTGATGCATGCCGGCAGGGTGAAGCATGAGTAGGATCTCTCAGCTGGTATGCAGTTTCCGGATCTGTGTAGACCAAGGTGCTCATCCTCGTGGGCCAGTTGAGAAACTTATTGGGGCTGATGAACCTGGGACTGCGAATCCTCACATGAATTTTCCCACGCGCATTCCCTGATCATTGACAGTGGAGCAATTGATGTGCCTGACCTGTGGCTCCCGATGAAAGATGAGATGCCGTTTTGCTAGTTAAGGAAGATGCGACATGCAATCGGTTGCTCGGACGGTTGAGCAAAGACTGCCGGGAAATGCACAGTGCGCCGTCACTGTCTGGAATTCGGAGCTCTGCACCGTCAGTCAGCATCGGAGGTTTTACAAATCAAGTCAGCGCAATCATTGGTGCGCTGCCAGAGACACATATACTTGGCACCATCTGGGGCTTGGTTGCTCAGCATTGATGCAGACCAAAGTGCTCAACCGTTCCACTTACCGTCCTCAGAATTTCGTGAATGACTGTTTGAAGTCGACATCCTCGAATGCCTTGAGGCAATGATGATGGTGCTGCAGCTGCTGATGTGGCTCAAGAAGCATTTGGTCAACGAGTTGAAGAAGCCTGGACCGCACCCGAGCTGGATGGTCCCTGCCAAAATAGCATCCGCGACTCGGTTATACAATATCATTCCCGTGTGCGTTGAAGCAGTCCATGCATAAACACGATGTAGTGCACGGGAGGAAATGAAAGAGCTGGTCCTCGTTGGCATCAGTATAACTTTTGCATACAGCACCGCGCTTGATGATGGAGAAACAAGGCTTCCCGCTGTGCGAAGTTTCGGCACTTTTGCAGAATACCTTTCGTCGATTTTTTTGTTACTGTCAAGTACGGGCACCACCCAGCAGAGGCTTCCAGTGGTGGGTGACATTCCACCTGGCTTGCCTGGCTTCATGCCGGCCTGGGACTACCCCGCCTCAAAGCATGCTGTCAGCATAAATGTCAGCATAAAGCTTTCAATGGCTGCTGGCAGCAGAAGGCTTGTGGGAAGAAGTTTCTCGTAGCAGCAAGAAGCTAGTGTTGGACTGACTCAGGACCATGCTGCAGACGCATTTCCGCCTGAAGGACCTGCACGCTGGTGGTTCTGGCTTGAGAGAGCATCTTCGAGCGAACCGTATTTGCCATTCACGTGCCATCGCAGGAATTCTGCATGGGTGGCTTTCTGGTGGCCCTCACATCATTTTTAACAACGTACGCAACATCCAAGAAACAGGCACTGCAGCATGGTTACCACATTGATGCAAGTCGTGCCCTCAGCAGGAACGTCAGTTGCCAAAGCCCATGACTTTTTCTCGTGCTAACACGATTCATGGGCGAAAGGCTCGTTTCTTTTCTTGTCGGATTTTACAGCCAAGCTACAAACTAAGACTAAGGTCAAGAAATGTTTGCCCTTGGCATGGCGGGCGTGTGCGGATCGTTTTATGGATCCTTCACCCCCAGCGGGTCGCTGAGCAGGACGAGTCTCGCTTCCGAAGTCGGTGTCAAAACCCAGAGTCTTGGATGAAACTTAGGGACTTAGGGCTTGGGGCAGGCCGGGCAGGCCGGGCAGGCTTGGGCCTTTTCTGACCTCCGAGCACAGGATGAGCGGCCTGATGAAGCTGGTGGTGGTCGGTACGAGCCTGCAGTTCCTGACGCCAATCCTGTATTATCTTCCGAAGGTCGGGACTTTTGCCGTACGGGCCGGTGTTCGTGGCTCTCTCTGATTGAGGGTGGTTCCTCTTCTCCTAGCAAGATCTAGCAGCCCATCCGGAATCGTTCCTGTAAGGGCCAGTCCAGCAAGCGAACCGCGCATGCAGGGCCTAACCGTGACATGTCTCCCGGAGTTGAGGTTCGCAACCGCTCGCAAACCAGAGTGCCAAAAGCCGTTTGTAGCTCCTGCCAGGAGAGGTCCCAAAGCATTGGCCGAGACCCGGCAAACATCCGTGCCCAAATCATTTCTTTGCTTTGTTGGAAGTGGCCTGAAAATCAGGGCTTGTGCGGACTTGTGCAGCTGTCCTCTCACAGTCTCGCCTGACGAGTTCGAGTGCGAGTGCTAAGCAAACCAGGGCAACAGCACATGAAGCCTCAGTCGTGGGTGGGTTGGAGAAGCTTTTCCTTCATCTTGTTTCTCGCCACTCAGACCCCAAGATTTTCTGCGACATATTTGTGTCCAAACTCGTCGGTTTACGTCCAACTCGCCCTTCCAACACAACAGTAGTCCAGAGTTCAGTAGCCTCGATGGAGAGGAGCTTCCAGTCTGCAGACCTGATCTCTGCAGGCAACGCTGGCGGCAATCATTCTGCGCTCGACCTGGCAGCTGGTAGACCTACACACACCAAAGACGCTCTGGAGCTCCTGGAAGCGGCTTGGATGGCACGCTGAAGCGCTGCAGCTGCAGTCTTTCTGTCGTCTGTGCAGCCCAGGCCGTACCATCAGGGTGGCATGAAGCGAGACTTTGTCGTTTGGTGGATCGCCTTTCTGTTCACCGTGTTCAAAGGCCCCTGCAATGCCCTTGCTAGCAGGTTCGCATTCCACCTCGGAGTCGGGAGGTGTGCTGTGGGGCATCGGATTAGCTGTCTTCGTTTCCGTGCTCATGATTGTCCACGATGCTGCTGTGCCGAGGCCCGCTTCTGACAGCAAGATGCTAGTCTCACAAACAACACTGTATGCCTCTGTCCATACTTGTGTCTTCAAGGGTGGTGAAGCTTGGTTCCATCGAATCTTTGGGCAACATTTGGCGCGACCAAGAAGTCTGGCCGGAAGGGCGGACCTATCCAGGCGCGGGCAAGATTCTTTGTTCGATCACCGTGCGTGCAACTATGCTCACTTGCATCAGTCAGTCCTTTGCAGGTGTTCTGGTTATCGAGTTCAGGGGGCCTTTGTCTTTCGCGAGTGCGGACCACTTCATGGAAGAGGCATTGGCATGTTCAGGGCCGCTTAGGGTCCGTCCTCCGGCTTCTGCTCTCCGTTGTGTGGCCGATCGCGGTCTTTTCGCAGTTCTGACAGTGCAACTCCAGTGTCTGCGACAGGTTGAAAACAAGCGGTTGGAAGAAGAGGAAGCAGGAAATCCAGTTGATGTCATCGTGCTACCCTTCGGAAGCGCACCTCATCTCAAAATCGATTAGAAATTATTAGAAGGCTCTTGAAATAGGAGCTGCACGTTGCCAGAAATCATATTGCCTATCCTGCTCAGACTAGTCATAGTGCGTAGCAGCGGGTTTGGAAATGTTGGCATTGTTTTCCAGCTCTGTCGAACCCGGCAGCGCTTGGCAAGGTGCATGATTTGGACAAGACGGCGATTGAGATGTTGCGGGACTTGCTAACGGAGTCCCATGCCTTGATTTGGTCATGCATCCTCCTGCCAGATCAAGTTGTACCGGGCTTTGGGGTGGTGGTTGTTGGTGACTAGGTTTGCTGTGTTACTTTGGGAAAAGTCCTTTGCATCTTTTCGCAGATCGCTGGCAAGATTTTCTCAGATCTACACGCGCGTTGCAGCCCCGTCCTTGAGTAGATATGAAGTGCATAGGGCATGATAGAGAAGGAACAGCTGAGTAAACATGCGATCTAGATAAGGGGGACGTTGAGGGCAGAACCCAAGGGACCACGACGGGGTTTTGAGGTAAGGAAACCTCAAGCAAACAGGGAGAGGACGCCTGGCAACCTGAAGGGACATGAGGGGACAAAGTTAGCGTGGACAGGCTGGGAGGATTTGGATAAAGCAATGCGACAACATGTGAATTCGTGTCCATTTGCAAGAGCGGGCAAGAACCCTCGGTGGATGTGCCAAACAATCGCAACAGGGGCAAAAGGGGGTATTGAGTACATTGAGCGTATACCGGAAATTCGAGTGAAACGAACTCCATCAGCTTTCGAGGATGTGCGGGATTCCAGGAATGTGTAGAGCATGCTGAAACGGATGGAGTTTCGAGTACATGTTAAAAGTGTGCGAATAGAGCCTGGGAAGGGGGGTTGAGTTGCAAAGAATCTGAAGCAAATAGACACCTACAGCATGACACGGGGACGTAGTTGTCTCTTTTCTTTTTGCGAGTAGCTTTTGTGTATGTCATTCTGTGTGTGCGTGTATGTGGCTGTGCGGGGTGGAGCTAGTTGATGTATCTGACAACGAAAGCTTTCACCTATTCAGCATAGATCCCTGCTATGCGCTCCTTTTTCCAACAGCCTTCGCTTCGGTGGCGTGTTTTGCGATTTTGACTATCTTCGGAGTCTAATCGTTTTCATCGAAAGTTTCAATCGCATTTCATACACAAATCTTCTTTCGATGTTCGGAGGACCGACCGTTTCCCGGTCGGATCTCGCAGAATGAAAACAGAGGAAAGTGAAACGCCTAATCAGGGTCGGGTGCGAGAATACATGTTTTCAACTCGAAGCTTACACCACAATGGCAACGAAATGCATCAAGTTCGAAGTAGGTGTCGATCGGTGATTGATGAAAGCACTGGGTTGTCACTTCGCACACAAGTGTGCTACGCTTCTACTGCTACTATTACCACAACTGCTACTACCACTACTATGGACAACGCAAATGCACGCAGTCGTGGTCAAACGTTCTATCCGATCACCAGAGACACTGCAGTTACGAATGGCTCAGAAGGTGTTCTCGACTTGGATGCGCTAGATTAGGAGTTGCCTTACAGGATTCGCTAAAGAGCGAAGCCGTCAACAGAACGGCCGGATGTAACATCTGTCCTCTCTCGTTGAGCACAGACATGTGTGACGTGTGCAATGCAATGCAATATTGCCACTACTGCTGCTGCTGCTGTTACTGCTTCTGCTACTGTATACTCCTGCGTGGTACCGCTATTAAATTACTGCTACTGTTACTATACTGGTCTCGGCTAAAGCCTTGCTGGAGTTCTGAAGAGCTTAAGGGCTCAGGGTCGGCTCCAGGGAGGCAAAACCATGAAATGCGAGCACGCAATATTCGGTTCCCGTGGCTTCGCCACTGTCAAGCACAACACGAGGGTGACGAATAGCGTACTGAGGAAGTTCTGGAATTCTGGAGGCCAAGGGGAAGGTAGAAAAACACTAGCAATGTCTGAAACCGCTCCAAGCCAATTTTTCAGAGACGAAATATCCAGAGCCACCCTGAGCGCATCGGTACATGTTCCAGAGGTGTAAAGGCTGATGCCATCATCACCTTGCCCGAGTGCTCGAGGATGCTCGAGGTCCTTGATTTCCTGATGAGCCACCCTTCGCAAAGTACCCGTCTGCAACAACATCTCCGCCTCCTTGCGGGTTGCCTCGACAGCGGAACAGTGTGCACGATCTTTGTAATTATCCTCTTCCAAAGCAGAGCTTGCGGTAGATCACGTGTTGTTGACACATCCAAAAGCCTCACCTTCAGCACATTCAAGGAGGTCTGAGGGGGTTCGTCAGCTGGTCTGTGATGTGGCTCCCAGTCAAAGCCACGATGCCTCAAAATTGCCACATGATTTCCACTATCTCGCACCGAAAAACCAATCAACACGATCCGGCGTCTATTGCTCCAAGGCTTCGTTGAGTGCTGACAAGGCGACTGTTTCTTGGCCATCATCTGTTTCAACCATCAGCTCTCCACCCGAAAAGGTTGACAAAGCAGTAATCAAGATTCTGCCAACATTGTGAAAGTCCTTGTGCTCCTGCGTCTGAACATCACATTCGCAGCAATGGCATTGAACATGAAGTCTGGAGCAATCTGCTCTTTTTACTCCCAACGCACCTCCATGAACAAAAGCTGACAGAGCACGCTTGATGTCCAGGAACGGCGAATCAGGAGCCGGCCTGCAGCTGCGCAGATCGCGCGCCAGACTTCAAGAAGTCCTCCAAGCAGCCTGCCCACTCCTGACATCCACAGTCTCCATTGAGTACGGCGTGGCGTCGCTCAACTCCTGGACCTCTAGCTCTTCGAGTTCACGAATTAGATCCAGTGTCTCGGTTTCGCCCACTAGGGGGCATTCTTTGACGGGCCCCGACTGACGACCTTTGCTCGTATATTAGACCATGCTGGGGATAGTCGTATCTCCAGCCCTCGTCTCCTTGACCACTGTAGACTGGAGATCACAGCCGAGATCTTGGACGAGCGAACCAAGAAGAACGATCGGAGCAACCGGGGCCTTGTTGTTGCCCGCGGCTTTCAGAAGGGCCCCGGCCTCGTTCTGTGACAGCATGATGCCGCTGGCAAATTGAACGCATGCCACTTCTTCACGACTCACGGGACGTAGAGGATGACTCGCGCCCGAAGCCAGCGAACCCGTTCTGCCTGTCCGAGGATCACATCCATGAGCCACCGATGCATTCTCCAGCTGAAACGTAGACAACGAAATGGAGCATAGCTGTCTCATCTCATTCAACATCGCATCCGCCTCGATTCGCCTCCCCCAACAATTGTCTTACCTCAACTTCAGGCGGGCTGCTGGCAGCAGATGTTCCTGAAGTCGGCGCGGGAAGGGGTTTGCCATATTTGACAATGTAGTAGTACTCGAAGCCGCCGTGGCGGTAGTCAAGGAAGAAGCCACAGATGCCGCCAGCTGAGCCACAGCAGCGCCGTGAGAAGCTGCATTGACGTTCTTGCCATTAGGGCAGCTTGATCACCTCCACCAGGCATCACCACGCGTTAACACTGCCTTCCTGCCACAACCCGCCTTTCCTCTAGGCTATCCACCCAAATGCGCTCCAGGCCGGACCCTTGAGGATCAAGAAACCGTCATTGTTGGCGAGTTGGCACCTTAAGCGTTCCACCCTGTGTCACTTCATGGTTGACCACAGTCTTCCGGGGCCGTGAAACACATTCAACTCCACCTCTAGCCTCCACCGACCACCCGCAGCAAGAGCAGCAAGCGGCCAACCATGTCACGAAGCTGCTGATTCTAATCTAGTTCTTGTCGTTCTTCATGCTGCTGCAGCTGCTGACGTACTTGCCGTTGAACTGCCGCCACTATCTGCCCCTGGGACAGCGACTCACGTGAGGACCGTGAGGACCAGCTGGGGCTGCTGTTGCGAAGCACCACAAAGCAAAGGTGCCCTCCTAACCCACTGCACCATGTGCTGCTCCGCTAAGCCGAGAACAACCGAGCCCTCGGTGACGCAGCTGTTCAGCTACCAGGAGGGGTCAGGTTGGGCTGCGGCGGGTTTCAACTCTTGATCGATGCTCCAGAGCTTGTTCGTGCCTCCCATGAACACTCTCGCTGAGTCACATGTTCAACTGTCGCAGAAGGTGCTTGCGTAGGCGTAGGTTTGGGGCAGCAGTAGCAAGATTCAAGCGAGTACTTGCCGATCCTACGCCAGCATCCACGTGCCTCGACAGGCTGACGGATCCAATGTGGTTCCTGAAGCACGTTCGTCGTGGCCCCACATCGTCTGCCGCACCATGTACAACTGAACCTGACCGATCTCCCACTTCCCCAGGCCGCTCTCCAGGCGCAGCCACATGTGCTCTCATCTCGTGAGCGTCCAGACAAACAGCACCTGCAGCGCTCACCGAACCATAGTCAGGTCCATCCCTTTCGCGTCCCAACGAAGTCGGAGTCAACGGCTTTGGGCTCCTACCCTGAACAGCTTTTGAGGGCTCCGGGTCGGCCCCAGGGAGGCAAAACCATGAAAGGCGAGCACACGACGAATTTCTTATACACACACACAGAGCTGAGCTTCAAGCGCGAGAGCTTTCGAAGCTAGGACACCTTACAAGTAGCTTCTGCTCTGCTCTGACTTCAAGACTGGCGCCCAACATGAAAGCACTCGTTCCAACTCGGGCCTCAGGCTATAGCACAGTACAGCATGCAACTGTTGATGTAGCGTCATGCACAAGTTCATCGCGTCTCTGCTCTCAATTTGTTTTTTCTTACGGGTTGCAACGACGTGGGCATTGATTCAGAATTGAATGCCAGCTGCGTGGGCCCCAAGTCCCACAGCCGATGATTTCCAACATTCTGTGAAGGAACGAGCATTCAGGCGAGTGCACCTTGCAAAGGCAGATGGTTCACGCCTACCATGAATGGCTTGACTGAGGCGCGGCAGACAGCCCGACTGCCATCGAGGCAGCCAGGGACTGATACTGCAGACGGACGTAGTGCACCAAGGCTGCGTCCTCTCTCCTACAACATCGGCCCTTTCTGTAGCTGTAGCTGGCTTCTTGCATAGCAGGCAGGTCGCGGATGCAGTAGTGGTTCAGGAGCTTCATTGGGGGTGTGGGAAGGATGATAACACCCGCCTTGAAGGCAAGTGGACGGACCGGACGGATGTTTGTCACCGCTTGCGACGTGGGCTGGTTGTGCCTCTCGGCTTTTCTCCAATCCATGTACAGTACCTCTGCTCAGCTGATTGCATCCAGCATCGTTTTTCGACCCGCCGTATTCTTCTCGAGATTACTGTTAGGGTTTACCGTTCTGATTTGAGATTTGGGCAACTCAGCTT